AAAAAAAAAAAAGTGCTTATTTTAGGAACTGTCAATATTGGCTGAAAGAGAAAAAGGAATGTACCTTGGTGAGCCAGGGTATTGGTGAACCGGATCACAGATGTTTTAGCAATTTGTGAGAATAGATTGTTGATTTCTCTTTGAAGTTCCACATTGTATTTCCTAGATAAATGGACATCATGAAAGTGCTCTGGGAGTTTAGCTTCTTCAGAAACTTGCTACAGTTTTCTGTATAGAGGCAAAGAATTTGGAGAAGTACTTCTGTGAAGTAAGTACATATGTGAGCACAGTTTTAATTTGGTTGTTTGATTTTACTTGATGTTTTGCCTTTGAAGAAGAAAGCTTAGCTTTTATTTCTTTGCTTAGATCAAGCCATTTGGCCTACTTAAATAAAGTTCACTTACCAGCCCCTAAAAGTGCCCTTTTCCCCATACCTTATCATGCAGATTCCTTTTATCCAGCCATTTTCTTTTTTCTATTTTGGCCGTCTCTCCTCACTCTGGAGCCACCAGCACCACTCTCACTAGACTTGGAACTCCATTTCCAGCTTGTCCACCCATCAGCCAGTGAGTCAGGAAGGGACAGTCATCCTCAGAGCAGTGATCTGGAGTAGACATTGCTGGGTGACTAGGCTTTACCTGTTAGGTAGGAGATCTGTCTTTCCTCTTACTGGCATGTGCCAACTTGCTGGTTTATTCTTAATCCTTTTCTCTGTGACACTGTTAGAAGTGGAGATGTAAAAATATGTAAGGAAGCAGTTATAAGAAAAGTTCATTCCTTGTTACTTGGTGGTCAGTTTTTTTCAGTTTTATCGAACTGTTTTGGTGTTACTGACTTTGTCAGCTGCTTCTACAAAATGTCAGTTCATATTTTAAAAAGTGTCCTCTTTAGGGTTGTCTATTTGGAAAAGAATGGTTTCTAAATTGAGGTCCAGAGAGATGTGGGACTGTTGGATTGCATGTTTGAGCCCATACAGGTCCATAAAGTACCACCATCATAGCAGAGAACTATGCTTGGAAGAAGCAGAGAAAAAAATTGGAACTAGCCCTTAGAAATTTACAAAAGGGGAGCCATTAAAGTTGCAAGTTTTTTTATAGTGAGGAAATAAACACAAGGGGAGCATGTTTTCTTTGGTTGTTAAGCCCTTGTTGAGATTTGTTGTGGGTCCCTGTTTTTAAGCTGGATAGGAGGAAGAGCTCTTGAAGGAGGAAGTCTAGATGTAGAATACTGAATGACTTCTTAAGTGTTCCTGTCCAGGATGAATATCTGTCGTTTCTCCTGAAAACAGGCTAGTTGGGTTTTTCTGGTGGTTCCTTGAGCAACCAGTCACCGTAAAAGTTTTTGCACAGTGTCATCCACCTTAAATAGAAGGCTGCTGGGTGGTTATGCCTGTTTCCAGCCTCCCAAGTAAACACTTGGGATTCAGTGTTGATCTTCGCTCTCTGAAAAAGTAATATAGGTTTCCAACAGAATGATTAAGTAGAATACAGATTAAATGTAACCAAGTGTAATTCATTTAAGTTCAATTCTCTGCGGATCCAAGTAAATTGACTACGTGATACTCTTTAAAGTAGAGGTCCTGAAATGAATGAAAATGTGGAAGACAAGGGTTGTGTGTAAGAGAACAAACATTTTCTATGCTAGAATGTACTTATTTTGAGTTTCAATTTGCACACAGTTCATTCTTTTTTATTGTTGAATGACAAGTAAGTTTAGCGATTTAATTCAGGATTACTTGGTGTCTTAGTCTATTTGGGCTGCTGTGTAGTACAGTATACCACAGACTGGGTAGCTTGTAAACAACAAAATTTATCCCTCACAGTTCAGGAGGCTGGAAGACTGCAATCAGGGTGCCAGCCTGGTCAGATGAGGGCCTTCTTCCCTCTCTCAGATCCAGATTGCTGACTTCTTGCTCTCACGTGGTGGAAGGGGCAAGGGAGCTCCCTGGGGCCTCTTTTATAAAAGAGCTGTTTGTGAAATGCATTCGTGAGGGCTCTGCCATTATGACTTACTGCCTCCAAAAAACCCCACCTAAGTCCAATACATGGGGCATTAAAATTTCAACATATGAATTTTTGAGGGGGACACAAAAGTTTTAGAGCATAGAACTTGGACTTGTAGAACATCCAGGCTTCTCTAGTAATGGTGTGGTGTCCTTTCCACCATCCCACCCTTAGCATCTCTCAGAACTCTGCCAGTAAAAAGTGAGTATAGAATAAAACCAGCAGTCCTCAGAGGAGGAACTATCTCCAAAACGTAGCACATTGTATTATGGAATCTGAATTTTAAAGAGAAATGTTGTTTCATAGTACTTGGTTTTTGATGGATGTCTTTTTATGGGGAAGGGATTTTCTTCTTTTTTTAGTGACAGACATATAATTCACATATCACAGAATTCACCATTAAGTGTATGGTTCAGTGGTTTTTAGTATATGCACAAAGTTAATGCAACCGTCACTAGTACGTGGTGGATGCTTGTTAATCACTGAGTAGTCTCAAAGGTGACCTCACGGTCACAAGAGTAGAGTGCAGAATCTTACATAATTGTTTTGTTCAGAAGGGCTCTTAGACTTTATTATGATGTTAAGTAATACCTGTTGACTGAGAGATAAGTTTAGATAGAAGATAGATGAGGTTCTTGACTGGATTTTCCTTTTCCCGTGAGACTGAAATCCCTGCAGTAACAAAGTCTTCAGTGGGACAGTAAGTAAAGTAGGCAGAGAAGGTGAGGGGAAAATATTGTTCCAGTAGTGTTATTTCTTTTCCTCCCTCATTTTCTAGCTAGTTATTTCTTACTTTGACTTAACCAATTATTAGATTTGGGCTCTTATCTCATAATTACTTGCTTGAAATGGCTCCAGCATGAGGATTTAGGGAGTAAGTGAAGGCATTACATGAACCAGTGCTTTCCTTGTTGAGCAGCTGTTTGAACTGGTAAGAAATTTTGATTGAGAATAGACCCTCTTTGGAGCAGCTTTTATTTACTGCAGGTTTGGTACATGGCTTTCTTCTGTCCCTTGTTTTTCACCTCTGGAATTGTACTGCAAGAAAAGATAGCGATTAAAATTTCTCAGGGCGAGTTAGGAAAGTACAGTAGATGACAAATTTTAAGCCTTGTTTTGTTTTTGTTTGCTGGGGAGGAAATGTCTTAAAGTGTTAAAATATTAATGTTTTTCTAGTCAAAGAGAAAGAAATGAAAAGGATTTGATAGTCTTTTGTGGTGAGTTGGCAGTATTAGAATGGAATTTTTTGAGATGTAAGTCTAGTTTGTGCTCAGAATGATGTATAGCAATTAATGAACAAACATTTTTGTGTTTACAGAACGCAGGATACTGTGCTGGGCACTTGAAGTGACACCACAAGATGAATTAATCATGGTCCTGGAGTCTAGAAAGAGGTCAGACCCCCAATTTACTCTAATGGAAGACATAACATGGTTGAGAGGGTTTCAAAGCTGAGCAGAGGAGTTGTTCATAGGTGCCCTTTGTAACTCATTTCAATCTTATCCTAATCATAAACCTAGAGATACATTTTCTGGTACTGTTCTTTGTTAATACCATAAGTGTTTTTTAAGTTCAGATATAATTCACATAAAATTCACGTTTCTTGTGTTTCGGTATTTTATTTCAGCTTGCTAGGAAATTGCTAGAGTAGAGCATCAGTTACTTTTTACACTGCTTAGTGCTCATACCAACAACAGTGAGTTACTGCCATTATGAAATTTTGATTGAGAATAGACCCTCTTTGGAGCAGCTTTTATTTACTGGTATGTCTATTGGGCATGCTAATTAAGAATTTCATCATTAAATTCACAGTTCTTAAATTATTGGGAAGCAAGAATATGGCCACTAGGTGAAAGTTCTTGATTATTCTGACATCCTTAGGCTTCTTTTTAAGCTGTCATTTGTTGATTCATACCAAAGCTTCTTAAAAGTGGTGTCCTTGTTTTCAGTAGATTTTAATAAAGCAGGCTACACTGTAGGTGTATTTTTTTCCTAAGTGATTTTGTTGTAGGAAATCTAGTTGTTACAGTATTCCAAACTGAACCAGTTCTCTATCATAATTCTGCTTTCTAGGTGAGAGAAACAGTAAGGATTTTTTGAGCATCTTTCACCAGCCTAACTTAAGAGTGGTTACACCCAATCCAAACCACATTCCAACCAGGTAATTGTAAGCCACTCGCCTTGAACCAAGCAGAAAGTGCGTGCCTTAGAATGTTGTTGGGGCAATTTCTGAGTTGACCGTTTCTATAGAACCACAGAGGGCCACTGTACTACTCAGTGGTGTGTCCAGCTCCTTTGGATGGTTGGTTGTCTGCAAAGTATTTTAAGTTCACCAACAGTATTTTTGAAGTAAATGGGATATAAATTATAAATAAACCTATGTTTTAGGGTTGTTTGAAAAACATAGTGGGTCTTAGTTACTCTACAGAAAGCCCACTCTGCTTTTAGTGAATGAATAGTTCGTAGAATGTTAGGGCTGGAAGTGACCCTGGCAGTAGTACAGTCTTGTCAGAGAAAGAAACTGAAGCCTACAGACTCCGATTCAGTGACTCCGATTCAGTGACAGTGGAGTCTGGAATCTGTGTTTGCCAACTGCTAGCTTAGTGCCCTTTCCATTACACCGTGCTGTTGACCGGGGAGAAGGCCATCCCTGGGGCTAACATCTTGACCACCCACCAGCATGAATTTCCTGAGAGACGCCCTAGAATTTGCCTTTCTTGTGTTTATTCTTCAAAAGTTTTATTAATATGGGGCTTTGAAAAGCTTGTAATAATAAACTTATTGAGCAGTTACCTGCTTCATATGCTTTTATCTTCACAACAATCTCTTGAGGTTATGTTGAGCCCTTTTGTAGATAAGAAAATAAGGCTCAGAAAAGCTAAATAAATGAGCTGACATCTCCTAGTAAGTGGAGGAGCCAGGGATAGACTCTACATCTGATTTCAAAGCTTATTCTAGTAGTAATAACACAGGTAGTCTTCTCCCTCTTATTTGCTATGAAAAGGTCTTTTTGGCTGAGACACTTTTTCAGAAACTGAGTCCATGAGATTGTGGCCTATGGCACCGCCTCCCTGTTCTGTCTCAGTAGTAGCAGGGTGACATTGTGATAAGTAGGCAATGCTCTACTTTGAAATTACTTCTTCCTACATTTTAGGAAATAATGTGAGATAATTTGAAACAGCTCTGTTCACCGCTATAGCATTGTACCTTTTTATTTTGAGAGCATAGGTAGTTAAGGCAAAACCATGGACATTTCATGTGTTCTGTGGGCGTTCAGCTGTGATGTCTGCCTTTACTGGTTTTCAGTATTGTCTGTGGGAGAAAAATACCTCAGGCAGGCGGATTTGGTTGGGAGTGTATGGTCATCTGGGTGCTAGAGAATTTTTAGTTCCTTATGCAAATTGTACTTGAGCATCTCTTCAGTATTGTTTCTCTAACCCCTTCTTGGAAAACTGACACATACAAAGTTGTTTTTAGTCTATTGAACCCTGATGGAAATGCAGTAAATATATAGGTGGACTGCTACAGATGGTGAGAAAACTGAAGTGATAAGACTATAAGGAACTAGTGACCTATGAAAACCAAAAGAAACGGCTGCAGTCCAGGCGCAATGAATTACATACTTACTCGGTACGTATACCGTTTCAGCCTGTGGAGACTTTACAGGAGGTGGGAAAAGGCTCTGTATTTCAGAAAACCACACTCATTCTGGAAGTTTCTAATGTCGTAGGGAACCAAAACTGAGATCAGTGTGTTGGTGTGCTTACAGCTGCAAGAAGGGTCCTACCCTAGAGGAGCTCAGAAGAGCCATCATAAGCTGGGTAATGGGGTGGGTGGGGGGTGGGATAAAAGTGGAAAGTTTTGTACTAAAATTGAGGAGAATCCTTAAGAGGATCTAGAACTTGCACTTATCGGCTCTTTAAATTAAAACTAAATGTTTCAATTTAAAAGTCAGTTCCTTGGTCACAGCCTCCTTTCAAGTGCTTAATAGCCACATGTGGCTAAGTGACGGTCATATCACTGCACAGAAACAGAACTTTTCCATGATTGCAGAAGCTTGTATTGGACAGAATTTTGTCACACAGTTTCTTACTTCAGTGTAGTGTAAGACACTGTGACGTTTGCAACAGCACTGAAGTTTTTATTCATTAATAATGAACACCATTTAGCTAACAGGACTAAGAAATTTAAGTAGGATGACTTTTACATATTGTTGTTTCGTGTGTAAAGAGATGAAAGATTAGTTTTATATATATAAAGCAGTACACACTTAAATTGCTGATTTATGGACTTTGTGGATTAAGCACCTTAAGAATTGGCCAGACATTATATTTAAAATATAACTTGAATTGAAACCTGCCTTTCACAGCCCACCACGAGTGTGGCCTTCACTGTACCCATGAACTGGCCAAGTAAGAGTCTCTGTGTTAAAACGTTTTGATCCATAATCAAATCTTTTTAAAAAAATTGTATTTTTAAAAATTGAGGTGAAATCCGTATGACATGAAATTAACCATTTGAAAGTGAACAGTTCGGTGGCATTTGGTACATTCACAGCATTGTGCAGCTTACTACCTCAAGGTTCCAAACATTCTCATCGCCTCCAAAGGAAATCATGCTCTTTAAGCAGTCATTTAACACTCCCCTTTTCCCAGCTTTTGGCAACCACCAATCTACTTTCCGAGTGTTTCTATTCAGAATTTACCTATTCTGAATATTTCATGTGAATGGAATTGTACATGTGATCTTATGTGTCTGGCTTATTGCACCATTATCAAATTTTAAGTAACAGTTTTAGGATTCACATTATCATTTGTGTTAAACCATAGGCAGTTCTGTTGCCTGACTGTCTTCTGGTAAAATCTTTCATTCACTTGTTTTAAAATTTTTGGTAATGTACCTTGTATCATAGCCAGTTCATTAATCTCCCTTTATCATAAACGATAGCATTAGTTTCTTTTAATTTGAGGTATGGCAGTTTTATTAACTAGTGCTTATTGCACCATTATCAAATTTTAAGTAACAGTTTTAGGATTCACATTATCATTTGTGTTAAACCATAGGCAGTTCTGTTGCCTGACTGTCTTCTGGTAAAATCTTTCATTCACTTGTTTTAAAATTTTTGGTAATGTACCTTGTATCATAGCCAGTTCATTAATCTCCCTTTATCATAAACGATAGCATTAGTTTCTTTTAATTTGAGGTATGGCAGTTTTATTAACTAGTACACTTCTGATAAACTTTCCCACCTAATTAGAATTGTTCTTTTTTGAATACTTGATGAGGGTGTGTTCTTGATGAGGATGTATCTTCTGAACATGGAGATACCATTAGAAAATATGAAACTGATTTCATTCCTTGGGAGGTTTACTAACTTCTCTTCAACTAGCAGATATGAAGCATGCAGGACTTGGAAATCAAGCCCCAATGGTTATGTTTGCCAGCCATGAACAAGTGATTTTGGAGCTGGTAGAATTACAAGCCTATGCTCATTAGTAGCCAGTAAATCTGGATGTGATGTATATTATGAATAATAGGAGTAGAATGAGAAAGGGTTGGAGATGTGTGTGAGAGAAGAGACTGGGTACAAATACATTGACAAGTTTAAATGTAAAGAATATGTTGCTGTATCTTTGATTTTTCTGGTTCATTGTTCCAAAAACATCAGTTCGCAGATGTTGCCACCATTGCCATTTGAATTGTAATGTGATCTGTGGTCTGAATGCAAGGATAAGCTTTTTTTCTTCCATCCCGGGGAAACTATTTTCAGCTTCTTATTTTGAGGCCCTTTAATGTCATCATTACGTGTATATTAATAACTTAATTGCTGTTTGTACTTGACCCTGTCTCTGCCTCTGTAAGCTGTACAAACTGAAGACAAATGTGTTATAAATGTAGGGTGTTTTGAAAAATAAAACCATGAACAGATTTTTATTATGCTGTGTTATGCAGCCATGGAGGTAGTCTTATGACTGATGTCACTGTCCTGAGAGGTGCCTTACAGCCTTATGCATGTATTGTGTATTTGTAAATCTGAGAGTTGGTTGTAGAACCAGGTGTTGAGGTGTGTGTACTGTTGGGTCTTATAAAGCCCATTTGCAGTTTGGGATGTCTTATAAGTGATGAGAGAGCCCCCCATACTGATTGTCTCAGTCTTCCTTGCCTTACAATGCTTGACCATCCTAACTGTGTTACCACTTACTCGGTTTACTTTTACTGAGGGATTTTCAGCAGGGGCTGTCTGAGGAAGGGCAAGGTGGCATTTGTGTAACTTGGAGAAACACATTCTAATATGACAGAATGTTTGGTAAGTTACTGCTTACTTCATAGGGTTTGGGGGGAGCTTAAATAAGATAGCAATCAGTACATGAGGGCTCAATAAAAATTTAAATGGATTTAGGGTAACTTGCCACAACCTCCAACCCTGCCTCCAGCACTGTGTGGATTTGTGAGTGTTTATATCCCTGTCTGGCCCATAATAGATATGCAGTATATGTTAGTTGATAGAATTGAACTGATGGCTCATTACATATTAGGGAGTGGGAAGTCACTTGTTGAATATCTCCTAGGTGTGAGGAGTTCTTTAATTGATACTAAACAAATGCGTACTCTCATTCAGTGCTCTGAGCAATCCTGTCAGGCAGATGGCATGTCATTTCCATGATTCAGTGAAATAATTGCCTCTCACAACTTGTACATGACACTCTAGGCTTTAAAGCCAGGAGTCAGCCCAGTGCTGGCCTGTCAGCACCAGCGTCTGCTGCCTCCTCCATCCTGAGGTTGGCACGTCAGCCTGATCACCTAGCACTGCCTGACTTTCTCTGGAAGTTGAGTGATTTTTCCTTACTATACCTGTGAACTTTTCTTTGAAATAGGAAGTGAAAAAAAAAACTTTTGTGAAGTACAATTCCTGTTCCTTCCAAACCTAGTTCAAATGCTTTTCCCATTTCTGTTAACATCCTGCTAATCACATAGGTTGGGGTGTCTTAGACCATTCACTCTACCTTCCTGCACCTGTCCGGTGTCGCCCCTGTTACCTCTGTGCTTATCCTCTCCTCTTCAGCTGCACTGCTCCGCGGTGGGAGCCATGCTGGTGTTGCTGGCTGAGGTGTCTTTCCATTCTAAGATCATCCAAATACCACTGTGTAGGATCATCTGCAGCAGTGACACTAAGCATGTCACTTCTCAAGAGATCTTGGTTGCCCTTTACCTTTCAGGGGCAAGAAACTCCTTTCTTCACTACTTCATATTATAGAAGATTGGGCCCAAAACTTTTCTTGACTTACAGGTCTTAACACTCCAGGGGAGTGATTTTAAATATAACTTTGGCAGATTATGAATTCAGTGTTTATTGGTGTGCAGGATTTATGTGACTTCAAATTGTTCAGTGTCTTTTCTGCATCTTGGAGATTCTTTAAAGCAAGGGCACTTTCATACCAGAGTATCATTAGGCTTTCAGATATAAAAAGAAACTTAAACATTTAAGT